GGGTGAGGAAGCCTCTGAATTAAGACACGCTGCACCACCGTTGGTCGCCCCTATGGCACCGCTTGTCTCGACGGACTAACGACGAACGTTTCTCTTCCTTTCTTTAGTACAGGCATTTACACCTATCTGTCACCCTTCCTCAGAGGCAACCGATTGCTCACGGAATGAACCGTAAAGCGGCACAACCATTCGAGACTTCTTGATGATTCGCGATGCGACTCTGTTAGTAAAGGGAAAAGTAGAGACAAGTGTGCAGCAACAAAATAAAGAACAGCTACCTTCTCGACGAAGCAGCTTGGAGAATTGGAAGAGGAGCAGCAGGGGGCAACGCGAATGCGGAAGAAGATGAAAGTTTCCTGGCGGGTTGGGAGACAAGCGGCAGCTCGTGTAGTTTAATATCACGTGTAACGCAGCAAATAAACGCTCCCGTTCCTACTAAGTTACAACGCATATTATACAGGCAGGCGGTGTACGCTATGGTGAAAATTTAACAGGCTGACAAGCGTCGTAATTCCCAACTTCGTAAACTCCGCGCAGAGAACCCTGCCAGACGCTATCGTAGGTTAGGTTCAGTTAGGTTAGGCTGAGCTACAAAAATCCGCACACTGCGCTGATTCGAATACAAAACGTAGGACAGAGCAGCTATACGCGACTGACGGCAAGCAAATACATCTGAGAGTGGTTCAACTTATTATTCATCATCTGTAATTGCCGGGGTAAACGGGGAAAGAGTTGGAAAGGATCACGAGGAACGCATCGAGTATTTCTGACGATCGTTACGTTATACATAACTCGTCCGAGGTTGCGAGTGCTTCCAGCTGTTCTCTCATCCCGCTCTGCTCATCGATCCGATATCCGACGAGCGGTGATCCTGAGCGAGGATCTCTGCGAGGATGTGCTTTCTTTTCTTCAGCAAGCTGTATTTTCCACGTGACACAACTGCCGAGGTCAAGTAGGTGGCTGACAGGTATTCATGCAAATGGCCAAGTGCTCTCGCCGTTAGGTTCTGTTCAATTGAATTTTACTGGGAGAATGCTGAGCTACCATCCTGCCAAGGGGACAAGAGCCACGACTAAGAGGCCAAGTGGCATTGATAATATATTTATACTGGCTGTGAGGTATAATAGGCAGGACAGCTTGTCGATAGAATCTGTCGGTAACTTGATACATTGCCATTGCATTATTGCCTATTATATATTATCCGACGTGTATCCAATATCGATAACGGATGGTGACTTTTAAAACGGCTTTCAGCCGTAAAATTCGACGAGTTTTCTAATCCCCAGCTCTTCGTCGCCCCCTCCTCCCCCGCCGCCATCGCCTTCGGTTTAATGCCCTGCTCCCTTTCCAGAGTCCATTCGACTTGCGACTTTCCAATTTCAGTGATCGACTAGCTCTCTCTCTCTCTCTCTGCCACTCATGAAGCCACTTATCCGGTTGCAGAGACAAGATGCCATTTCGAATGCACGAGTCAAAATGCACGATATGGATCAACCGGAAATTTTCTTTGCGGATTAGTAGAATCCGGCTGTGCCGACGGCAACACCGATGTCATACCCACAATACACGAGGACGTCTGTATCGGAGAATCCTGATTCTATGAGTGTCCCTAATTGGCATTCTCATTTTTGCACAGACTTCGCGCTTCGAGCTCATGCATATATTTCCAGTAAGAACAGAGGGTAAAGACCCTCCATGCATTCTTATTGCCCTCCCTTCCACCTATCGAGACATAAACACTTACAGGTCCTTTCTTCCTCGCTGAGCCAATGGTTTCTTCTCCGTCAAGTCGCTTGCGAACGCACGCTTGTACAGAATCGTTTAAGCTACCTTTTTAATGTACTACAAGCTTCCGAGAGGGGCCGGATACAAGTAGACGCACACGTCCTCGGATCGAGGTAGAAGCGTGGAGGATAGTCACTGAGAGTGGATGGCAAAGAGGGAAGAGTGAAGAGCAAAGATACGGGATATGGCGCGAGCGCAGACGCGACAGCAGCGCTGAGCACGGCTAGTAGCGAAATTTCGATGTTCTCGGGGTTGTTTTCATGAGGGAATAGAAGTCAGTACGCCGGACGCGCTCCACGGGGTAACGTGATACTTGAGTCCCGCGTTCTCTACGTATTGTGCGAGATTCACTCGCAATGCTGATTCCCACGTGATTGTCCTCAGAAGTATACGATAACTCGTTCGTAGCGGCGGTCGTGGTAAATTTAGATTTCCTCATTTCCTAACCTTCAGTCCCATAATGAGAGACTCGATCTTCCACTTGGATACAAACTATTTTATTCCGTTTATTTTGCTTTCTCTATCGTGAATTTAACTTTTCTTGTCCGTTCAACACATCCTCAATGAATTCCTTATACTTGGGTTCCTATAACTTGGGTTATAACCACCTTTTTGGTCTGTATGCTTACAAAGAAACGGATAGTATTGACAATCTAGAACTGATTAAGAGAATTTCCTTTAAAAAATGATCAAACTCGAAAATCAATGAATTCAGCCTTTGCTAAACCGTGATGTTGTCAATGGTCATAATCGACAGTGCCTCTAGTGTCTCCAATGGTTTTGATGATTCCGATGGTCCTGGCGATACCGGTTCTTCTGATGGTAGTATTTATCAACAGGTGGATACATCGGTTATTCAAAAAGTTATGTTAGAATTCGTAAAGAATCGTCAGAGTGGCTGAGCATAATAGTGACCATGTCTGTCACTATTAAACTACTGCAAGGCATAAGAAATAGTTAAGTGGAAAATGAATGTTGACGTACGATGATTGTCAAATGTTCAAGGATGACTAGATTTTTCAGTGCGCACTTTCAGAGGGCCTGGCTGTTGACTATGGGTGACTATTACTATGAAAAATGCAGCGAAGTGAATTGAAGTGAAGTGGGCTGAAGTGATTTTGAGTAAAATTGAAAGAAAAAAATTGGTCGGCATTTGCTTAGTAAATTTGCGTAGAAAAGAAATGTTGCATCGGCATTCCTTGAGATAGTAGTATATAGAAATTCACCCCGTTATGTGATACGTGAACTTGCTGATAAAGAAGCAAAGTTCGAATTTTGACCTCACTGGCTCCAAGGGATGAATCGACGAAGTGATGCACGTGATGCACGTGATGCACGTTCACGTGGTGAACGAGCAATCTGAAGCAGGACTCGTAGGGAAAAGGAGGGATCGCGGGAGACACAGGAACATAGGTTACGGGAGACCAGGTCGGAGTGAGAGCCAATAAAGTGCAGAGGAAAAGTTTCTCCATCTGTTAATCGTGGATGCGGATGAAAATGTTCCGAGTGTTGCTGGCATGTGTCTGGCTCGTTGCCGGCTCACCTCTACATCCGCTACCGCTAATGCCTTACAAAGGTGAGCTCAGCCTGTAATTTTCCTCTCTCTCTTTTCTCTTTAACTTTGCACGGCTTATAGTTTACTTTAAAATGTGCACCGATGCTTTTTATTCTCTTTTCCAACTTTGTGTCATTCGCGTTCGGAATCCATTATAAAGGAAACGTGGCACATTTTATTACTCATTCAGATATCTTTGACGTTTCGTTGGACTGTTTCATTTCGTGAGAATTTGCCTCGGCCAACGAGCTGAAAACCTCGAGTCTTTGATCTCGAATCTTTTATCGAATCACCGAGAAGGTGTGTTGGGAAAAATGAAGAGAAACTTTTGTTGCCATTTCACGAATATTTTCAAACCACCTCATAGATAATATGTCCGTCACGCATAATTTAAGGGAGGCGGAAAGCAGTAATGCTTTAGTTCTCTGATTGCGCGAGGGAGATCTTGAAAAGTGCACGTTAGCATCATCGATAGGGGCAGGAGAACGAGCTTCACTTCGCGATACAGTAGCGCTACAAGAGAGGCAAAGGCACAACTGAAAGAAAGAACGTAGATGAATAGGATAAAGGAGAAAGCTCGTGGGAGAGAAGCCAAGTTGTAAATGTCCGGCTAAAGATTTATCCTGTCGAGGCAAATCGGAGATTTTATTTTCTGCGACTCGACAGCATCGCTTGACATTTCAAGCGAAACCGATATTAGCATCGGCTGCACTGCGCCCTGGCACGCTTCGCCATCATTGGATGCTGCGCGACTCCTTGACTTACCCGTTTGGCTTCCCGGAACCAGCGCGGCTTCGTTGCTCTCCGTATTTTCTAGAGCTGCGGCTGACCTAGACCGACCGACAGACTTTCAACTTCACAAAAATTACTTTCTACTTTACGATCTTCACGAGTTCCTCGCTTTCAATATCTTCCAGCTGCATCTTCGAGATAAGGGGATTTCGTAATATCGAATTACATCGTGTGTAACGTCGTTATCGTTATTGCCCCTAGTGCCATTAAAGGCTTTTTATTTCATTAGAGCAGCCTTCCTTCCTTCCTTCCTTCCTTCCTCCTGCCTTCTGCCTCCTGCCAACTTGAGAAAGATAACCGTCGTCTGCTCCGCTCCTCACTCGTTCCTTCCATTTTCCTTCGTCCCTTCGACTCTTGCTGATTCCTCCGATCACTCTGATCAGTCCATCCGACTACCTCGTCACGAGGCAGGCACCGGGCAGGCTCGTAACGTCTTCTCATCGCTAGTTGAGGCGAGGACCGCGAACCTTCTAACCCCGAATTGCAGCAGTGTAAATCCTCCCAGACTGTTATCAGCTCACTTTGCAAGTAACGCGGAAGGGCATGAGCGCCGCCCGTTGGAATTGGAACAGAAAAACAGGAGTCGAGGCATGCTTCAGATTTTGGCGAATTCGTCGATCCACTACGGTTCACCGTCTCCTCAGTCTGCTGCGACGCCCTGTCGGCCGCAGAAGCATGCAGCGACATTAATTGGCAATTGATTCGGTCCTCTCCCGTTCGAATGACACTGTGCTCGGATTCGAGGAGAAGCAAATGGGTCGGCCGGCGACCATGTGCAACTGCAGACTGGGCTTGTTAGGAATGATCGATCCCCTCGAGAATGATATCCCGATGGCAGCTGGGAATTATTCTGCTTCTGCCTCCTTGCTTCTTCCGTTCGAAAAGCTCTCTTTGGCTTAGCGTGCATGTTACTCGTGCCCATTCCTATTGAAATCCCCTAGCTTCAGCGGGTCGGTGTGCCCTCTTGCTGCCCCCTGCCCTCTCCGGCCATCCTTCACAGAGTGGAGGAAGAGAGGAGTACAGAGAAACTGTATGGGAAACCGAGGGGCGGGGGGGTGGGGTGCACCCCACCAAGATT